ACACACACACACACACACACACACACACATACTCACAGACTTGGTTATTTGTCTTTTCAGTGAAAGTGAATATTCAACCAAAAATAATGTAATTTGATCCATCAGGATTTGTTTGGATCATAAATGTTAGGCTACAATAGTGTTGGTTAATATTATTTTTGCTCTGCCCCATGACAAAGATTATATCGGCAGCACAGAGAAAGTTTCAGAGGCAGAGAAAGTAATAAAATTTTGATAGAAGTTAATAAAAACACAATTTTTTCCTAGTTTAGTGAAACATGGTTGCATTAAGATGCATTAATGCATTGAATCTGCTCTGCGTGTGTCTCTGACAGGCTGTGCTGTGTGAGTTGGAGGGAATGAGTGTGCATGTGGACAGCGCTCGTGATCAGGCAGTAATCTTGATGACCAGCAGGGGGCCTGTGTGCAGAGAGCTGGTGGAGCCCAAACTGGCTGACCTCAACCGCAGCTTCCACAAGGTGGCGCAGCACATCAGCTCTGCTCAGGTACGACTCCAGCGGCTCAGCACAGGCCTGAGAGGAGCTTGTTTTCCAGCCGCGGCGCTGGAGAGACACTCATTAGCCAGTGCTGAGTGTGTGTGTGTGTTGTGTTCAGGTGTCTGCTGGTCTGGAGGTCAGACAGGAGGCAGTGCGGCCGCAGCAGGAGGTGGCAGACGGGAGGTCTGCTCCTCTTCTCTCCTCTTCACAGCTGCAGCTGTTCGAATCAGACCTACAAGCTACTATCAGAGGCCTGGAGCAGCAGGAGAAAACACACATGCCTGATGACGAGAGGGTACACACACATCTCAAACACACACCTGATGAGAATTTAATAAGTGAGATGGCATAACATTTTGTAGGTGGCCGTTTTTTTTTTTTTTTTTTTTTACATATCTGTATTTTTAAAGGAATAGTTCACCAAAAGACAAAATTTTCCTAAAGATTTACTCACCCTCAGGCCAACCGAGATTTAAAAGTGTTTGTTTCTTTATCAGAACAGATTTGGAGAAATGTAGCATTGCATCACTTGCTCAGCAATGGATGCTCTGCAGTGAATGGGTGCCGTCAGAATGAGAGTCCAAACAGCTGATAAAAACATCCCAATAATCCACAAGTAATCCACACCTCTCCAGTCCATCAGTTAATGTCTTGTGAAGTGAAAAGCTGTGTGTGTTGTCAGAAAGCAATCCATCATTAGGATGATGTTTAACTTAAAACAGTTGCTTCCGGCTAAAATACGAGACCTCTTTAATAACACTTCCTCCAGCAAAAAAGTCATCTCATCTGAATCAGGGGAGAAATCTGCACAGATCAAACACCGTTTACAAGCCACAACAGCTATAAACACATATGTGGGTGGATTTTGATGTTCGAGGAAAACATGGGATTGACTTTTTCCTCTAGAGGAATCATTGTTATGGATTATGGACTCGTATTTTGGCCAGAAGCGATGGTTTCAAGTTAATGATGGATGTGTTTGTTACAAACACGCAGCTTTTCACTTCACAATACATTAACTGATGGACTGGAGAGGTGTGGATTACTTGTGGATTGTTGTGCTGTTTTTATCAGTTGTTTGGACTCTCATTCTGACGGCACCCATTCACTGCAGAGCATCCATTGCTGAACAAGTGCTGTAATGCTACATTTCTCCAAATCTGTTCCCATGAAGAAACAATCTCGTTTGAGGTTGAGTAACTTTTCAGCAAATGTTCATTTTTGGGTGAACTATTCCTTTAAACATCAACTATGAGCTGTTGCACCTGCTCTTGTCATGTGTTTGTCCTGAATGAGTGTGTTTGTGTTTTAGCTGGATGAGGAGAAAGCTCATGTTGAGGAGGTGCTGAGGAGAGGAGAGGAGGTGCTGCTGTCTGTTCCTGACAAGGACAGAAGAGAAGATATCCGCAGAAGACTCCTCCTGCTCCAGACAGGCTACAAGGTCATTTCATGCACTCTTAACATGTCAGCCACGTAACGCCGGCTCTGAATTCCAAGCCACTTTCACACGTAAAACCCGTTAAACATATTTCTGTTTATTAATAGTATTGCTACTTTTCAGACATATCTCTAAAACTCTTTTGAAATTCTAAAATCTAACTTTTCTTTCAGAAATAGTAGGTAGCTACTGTTTGAAAAGCTAATGGGTTGCAATATAGGTACACAGTGTTTACATTTGCGGTTGTGTGTAATGTGATGGTTGTCTATAAGTGTAAATTCTGAACCTTGCATTTGCTTCCACTCTTCCACTCCAAGAACATCCTGACCTTGTGCATGCTTGAAATGATGGATACTTTACAGCTGTTACAGCTTTTTTTTTTTTTTAAGTATTGTAACAGTGTTACAGCTGAGATTAAGGCTGTTATAGCTATGCTGCAGTCATGATTAAGTTTACAGCACAATCTGACTCTGCTGCAGCCTAGATTTAAACTGGGTTTGTCTGGCCAGAGGAGAAAGACACACTATTTCCCCATTTAATACTGTAAAGCTGCTTTGACACAATTTGCATTGTAAAAAGCTCTAAATAAATAATGGTGACATGACTTGACTTGTTATGGCTGTATTAAAGCTATGTTTAAGGCTTTGTTAAAGTAATATTTTGCCTGCACTGTGTCTGTTACAACAGAGTTTCAGCTTTGTTACATCTTTGTTCATGGCTGTTATGGCAATTTTATGGCTCTGGCTATTTTACAGCTACATGTTATGACTGATACAACAGTGTTTACAGCTTTATTACAGCTATTTTTATGGCTGTTATGTGTATTTTACAGCTGTGTTGAAGCTATGTTTTGGCTACGTTAAGGCTTTATTACAGCATTCTCTATGGCTGTGTTAACAGCTGTTAAAACAATGATTGTGGCTCTGTTTGCGGTTGTATTATGGCTATTTTATAACTACATTTACAGATGTGTTACAGTTATGTTTTGGCTGTATCACGGCTGTTACAACAGTGTTTATAGTGGTTACGGCTACTGTTTCAGCTGTGTTTATGGATGTGTTACAGGAATTATTATGGATATGTTTTCGGCTGTGTTGCAGTTATGTTTACAACTGTGCTAAAGCTATGTTTTGGCTGTTACAGCTGTGTTACAATAGCTGTTATGACTTTGTTACACAATTGTTTTGTGCTATTATGACTTTACAGTTATGCTTATAGCTATTTTTACAGCGGTGATTATTGGCTTTGTTGTGGCTATGTTACAGCGGTGTTAAATTAATGATAGTTATGTTTACATTTGTGTTATGGCTATTTTACAGATACGGTTACAGCTATGTTATGACTCTAACGGCTATGTTACAAAAATGTTTGCGGCTGTGTTATGGCTGTTTATGGTTGTGGTTGTTATATTCACTATATTCTCTGTCTCTCTGCAGGAGCTTCATACCATCAGAACTCAGCCAGTTGTGCTCAAATCATCGTCTGTTCCTCTGCAGAGCTCAGAGTCATCCCTCTCTCCCCAGGATGAGAGGAGCGCATCTGTCTCCCAGTCTGACTATCTGCTGGACATTAATAAGGTTCTGCTGGGCATGACCGACAACGAGCTGCTCCTGAACTCCTCAGAGCTCAGCGGAGGCCTGTTTGAGGATTTCTCCAGCCAGGAGGACACGCTCAGGGTCAGACACACTACAGGAGTTTGCTTAGACACAACAGTTTCCTTCATAACAGAGTTCAAGAAGTCCAAATGTGACCACAAAACCAGTCAAAACGGTCGATTTTTGGAAAATTGAGATGTACACATCCTCTGAAAGCTGAATAAATGGGCTTTCCATTGATGTATGGTTTGTAAGGATAGGACAATATTTGGCCGAGATACAACTATTTGAACTATTTGGAATCTGAGGGTGCAAAAAAATCTAAATATTGAAGAAAATTGCCTTTAAAGTTGTCCAAATTAAGTCCTTCGTGATGCATATTACTAATCAAAAATTAAGTTTTGATATATTTACAGTAGGAAATTTACTAAATATCATCATGTAACATGATGTTTACTTCATATCCTAATGATGTTTGGCATAAAAGAAAAATTGATAATTTTGACCCATACAATGTATTTTTGACTATTGCTACAAATATACCCCAGCGACTTAACACTGCTTTTGTGCTCCAGCGTCACAAATATCAGTATGCTAGTACAAGTGTTGGGGAAACTAGCTTGCCAAACTATAGTCTACTCGTAAAGTGTGAGCTAAACTGTTGACCACAATAACATCCTGTTCACTAGCAGTCTAAAATAGAGGCTGAACTGACTAGAGCAATGGGTGTTTTCAGTTGTTCTGTTGGTTTTGTGTTGACTTCTCTATGTCTCTGTTTCTAGAATATAAAGGAGAGTTTGGAGCGGTTGGGTGAGCAGGTTGAAGTGATTAATGAGCGCCAGCCTGATGTGATTCTGGAAGCTTCCAGACAGGAGATGGCACAGATATCTGATGCCCTGACACAGCTGAACTCAGAGTGGGACAGAGTCAACCGCATGTACAGCCAGAGGAAAGGGTGAGTCTCGAATGACTCTGCTGCATTTCCCCATAATTCCCTGTCTAGACGAGCAGGCTTTCACCGTGTCCCCTTTATGGTCCGTAGTCACAAAGTGAACCTGAAAAAAAACTTTTGCATTTCATTTGTTGGACATGATAGTAGTTATTGCATGAAACCAATGATGAATACAGTATGATAGATTATAATATTGCATCTCTAGTTGTGAAGGAGGTCGTAATTATCCATCTCTTTAATTGTAGTGCTCTTCCAGTTGGATGTGTGTGAGCGTTGGTTGCAGTGGGTTAGGAAGAGTTAACATTCAAGCATATATTTCCTTATTTTCTCCTTATTGAAGGTAGATTTCCTAATGTTATTTTGCCCATTCGTAACATGCTAATGGAGGAGTCCAGGAAAGGATGGGCTCATGCATTCGAGATTGGGGGCAGCAAATGTAATAATTTAAAAACCCATAACAGTCGATGCCTAATCTGAATTTAGTTGGAGGGAGGGAGGATATGCCCTCTCAGTACCTATATGGAATATGTGCTGATGATTGGTCCATAGAGAAATGTGTCAAGTCCCTGGGTATTATAAATGCATGAGGAAACCAATGCCAGTATCTCACTACTCAAACCTTCATTAACTCTGGTGCAGAGTGCTTCTGATTTAAAGAAACATCACACTCTAATAGACATTTTCAAGCAAAATTAAAATGATGAATACTACCATCAATGCTAATTAGTTAAAATGTTGCCTTTGTAGTATAATGATGATTACACCACAATTATCATTTATTTATATAAATTTTAAACATTTTTTTACTGTTGTAGAATAAGCTTGAGATGCAGTCACACAAAACCTGTCAAGAACATGGCGTATTTTACACAGAAATATTGGATGAAGCCCATTAAGATTTTTAAGAACATTTTTATAATTAAAATGAAGATGAAACAAAAGAACATAAATATTAAATAAAAAAAAAACTAAGCAAAAATTAGTAGTGTTGGCAACTGAGAAAAATTATATGATAATTAAGTCAACAAGCACTTCTAACTCACAATTAAATGTATAAAAGGAAGATGATTTCCAGCAAACGAGCAAAATAAACCGTTAATGTTTGCATGACTGATGTGTGAAATGAGTGTTTTGAAGTCACAGTCGCCTCTTCCCCTGCAATTAACACTGAAAACTCAAACGAGGACATTCATCGTTAGACTCATACGTGCTTAAGTGTGTTTCACAGTCTGGCAGAGCTTTGGAGAAAGTGTGTGTTTCTGGGTCTGAAAGTGCTGAAACAGGGCGAGTTGAATGTGAAATTGTCCTCAAATACAATTTAAGGTCAGATGCATTTGCATATGAAGAGAAGTGGAAACTTCCTGTTTGTGACATGTCAAGCGTCCATTAACCCAGTGTGTGTGTGTGTGTGTGCGTGTAGGATCTGGAGGAGGGTCTGGCTTCTCATCAGTCTGTGCTGGCGGTTCTGAGCCGGTCTGGAGAGCACATCATCGGTCAGGTGCCATCGCCTGACGCTGCTCTGCTGCAGGAGAAGCTGGATGCTCTGAGACGCCGCTGGACGCACGTCGAGAGAGAAGTGTGTGAGCGCCAGCGCAGGTGAGCCAGACCGCAGCACCCACACACAGACTCTCAGATCAGTGTGGGTGTGTGTGCGCTAAACGCAGTTTGTGCAGGTTGATGGGTGAGGATCCGGCCGTGATGGATGTTGTTCAGAGGACTGCTGGTCTGGCTCAGTGGCTGGAGCACACAGAGGTTGCCGTGGAGACGCTGCCTGTTTCAGCCACCGACAAGAGCCTCAGAGAGCTAAAGGTTCGGCTCACTCACACTCACACTCACTCACACACACACACACTCACTCACTCACTCACACGCTCACACACTCACTCTCACACACTCATTCACTCACTCACACACCCTCACACACACACACACGCTCACACACACACGCTCACACACACACACACACACACACACACACACACCCAC